GGCCCGGCCCCGCCCACCACGGGGAAGCCCCCACTCGGCCCCGCCCACCACGGGGAAGCCCGACCCTCGGCCCGGCCCCGCCCACCACGGGAAGCCCGGTCCTGGCCAGGCCCAGGCACTTTCAGAGCAGCGCGGGGGGTCACTGTGCCCCCACCCCACTAAGCCCACAGGCTCGCCAGACGTGGACAGTGTGGTTATGGTCCAGGGGGGCAGAGCCGGCCACAGCTGGGTGCTGGCGTCCCACAGGTCTGGGAGCCCCCAACTCAGTCCCTGAGGGTGTGGGGCGCCCCAGAGGCAGGTGCCACCTTCCCGCCTGCTGGGCTGGAGACTCATGTTCAGGTTGGTCACTGCTGGTCACTGCCTGTGGGTGCAGCGCCCGCTGGCCTCCCTGAGCCTGGCCGGTCTGTGGGGGCCGTGCTCTGCCTGGCCTGGGCCCCACGGACGGCAGCCGGACCCTCACCCTCCTGCCTCAGTGCCTCCCACGCCCGTCTAGGGGGAACCTGTGTTGGGGGGGCGGGGCGCCCCGCGGTGTCCTGCCAGCTCTGTGGCCCAAGCTGGGCCCCAGGCAGCAGGCCTTGCCGCTTCTTGCTGGGGGGCTGTGGTATCCCGCGCCCACTTCCTCCTACCCTCGTGGGGAGGCTGGCCGGGCCACGGCGGGGACCCGTGCACCAGAGGGAAGTCTCGCGCCGAGGTGCGGGCGGGCCGGGCCTCCGGGCCTGTCCCTCCGGGGTCAGCAGGGCACCCTGTGCGTGCAGTTGGGCGGCGAGTTGGCCGAGACCCAGCCTGTGCCACTGTCCCCTGGAGGCCCCCAGAGGAGGGCCCCAGAGCGCCCCGCGCCCTGGCCCCGTGGTACCGCTGGGCCACAGGAGCCCTGGCCCGCCCGGAGCCCACAGCGCTGCTGTTCTGGTGGGCGGGTCCCCCCGGGACTGGACTCGACGACCTCAGAGGTCGAGGAGGGCAGACAGTGGGTGACCAGCAGGCTGCGGGCCATCTGGGAGCTGGTGGGCGCCGGTGAGGACGACCCCAGAGCAGCGGGTGCTGGGACGGGACCTGCTAGGAGTATCCCAGGCGGCTCTGGACGAGTCTGACCTGTGGATTGGCCCTGCCCAGCGTCCAGCAGCTGGCTGCCCCTCCGCCCCCCCTCTGATCCTTCTCTGTAGAGGCCCCATGCCTGCACCTCGGGACACTTGGGGTGGGCAAACCCACCCTGGCGGGCTGACCCTCTAGCTGCCACTGGCCATGTGCGGACAGCAGGGCCGCCCCTCCGCAGGGGCCTGGGCTCCATCTCCACAGGCTGGACGCAGCTAAGTGGCGCCCCTGCCACGCGAGGGCAGCCAGGCCCGGGACCCCTGTGACCCTTGCGCTGCCCGGGAAGGGGGAAGGCGGCCGCAGCTGGGGCTTCCTGGAGGACTGGGCACCGGGAGGCCTGCCTGGGCGGGGGCAGG